GCGGCTTAGGCGGCGCTTACAACATAGGCTAAGTACTCGGTCATAGGAAAAGGGGGGGTTTAATATTGGATAAGCGAGGGCTTAGTTTGTTATATAGTAACCCTATAATAGCTAGTGTTTAGCACTACCTAATAGAAACCATGCGATCCTTATAGAGTCTCACCTATTCATATGAACTGAGAATTCACATTCGTCTGCCTCTTTGTAGAGGCTTGTCTGTGTAGGCTGTCGTAACCGTATCCAGTGAACTACCCCAAAACGCACCCACGTTCCCTCATGAGTTTCCGTACGATTAATCAATGCAATGGGTCAGTGTCACAAAATAGATGACGCTTGTATGAGCTATAACAGATATGGATAGAACATAAAGATCCATACCAGATTGTGCAGGACGAACATCTCGGATCATGGGAGCCTAGGACAAATGTAGCCAGCCACACAACTTGTCAGTAGTGACTAAAGGAGACTTGGCTCTAGGCATTGATTCATGCAAAAGCGTTGTGAGAGCTATACGGAGTAAATGACTAAAGAAAGTTTCCTTCCTTGAAAATGCCTCAAAATAGCGGTCTCGGGTTGTAGCGATAACGACTTGAACGGGTAACAAATTGTTCAAAAGTGTCCACAGTGGGGATTTGGCTTGTGCGAGGCGCGATACTTTAACAGCCAACTGACCATTTTCATTATTTTTTATGCGTTCACATTGCTCGAAATGGAAAGTTCGAGAGATCTTCTATATTGAAAAAGCTGTGGTGAAATTCCCCACGCCTCATGTCTCACTTTTCAATCTCTCCCATCATCCGCTCTGCTTCCCTTGCTGCAATTCTTGCTTCGTCTCCAATCTCTTCAAATTTAGCCAACTCCCCAAACCTCTCTTTCCAAAACTGCCACCTCTCCTGAGAAAACCCATGTTGACCTTTCCAGAGCGGACCTCCTTTCCCTAGGTTGCCATCAGACCCTTTATTCCACCGATAGATGTCTGCCCCGAGAATTGTGATCCACGCAGCAGCTGCAGGAATCAATGCTTCTAGATTCCCACCGGAGGATCGGTCTGCTGGCGTTTCCAGTGCGCCTCGCAGAGTAATCAGGGCAAACCACGAGTATGCAAAGACAGGTTCTTTCGTCGCCATCAAATGTGCGGTGAATTTGTCCCGGTTGACAATACGCGAGATTGCGTTTTGACGAGAGTCGGGAGGTCCAGCTGGCACGGTTGCATTCCACTCATCGCGGAATTGCCAGCCAAGCATTGGTAGGTCCTTCCATACTTGCATATCATAGAGCAAAATGGAGTCTCCGTTTGATGCTTTTGCGTTTGGGAGCTTTGACAGTTGGACTAGCACACTGACGAGTTTATCATGGTGCTCGGGGGAATTGTATGCACATTTGAATAATAAGCTCCATAGACTGGAAATTCCTCCCTCGCGATCTGAATCGTCTGCCAATGAGATTGAAGCCAGATATCCAGCGGCTTGTTGTGCAGATATACTGTCGCTGAAGAGGTCTTGTAGAATAGCAAATCGAGGGGCAGAAAAATCTTCAGTGATGGCGACCATTTTCGAAGATCAACAATCGGGGTTATATGGTAAAAAGCTGCAGTGAGGTTGTAGTTTTTTTCTCGACCCAAGTTCCAGAGGGATTTAATTGTTTCTTATCACCTAGCGTGAATATTGGTCATTTCGAACCTCAGTATCCCACAATGGCCTCGTGTCCTTTATCTGCTGATCTCATTGGTTCTGATTTCCAAGATTGCATAGCTTCACCTAAAATTTTAGCAGCTTGATAGCCCTGAACACGCTAAGCCATACCCTGTACGGAGTAGAGTTCGGGTAATCAATTTTTACCCTGGACTTTTACATCGATTTCTTCGAACCTTTTGTGTCCAATACATGATCCATGGGCCAGATAGTATAATGCATGTTGGTTGTATACCGTACCATATCGAACAATAATCTTAACCGACACTTGAACGTATTCCTATATAGCTTATACACTTCCAAGATTACGAGCATAAATACAACACAACGGAAATACCTACCTTGACATGTCAGACCAATTCGTGTCCACTGTGACGTAGGGAGAGAGATGTGGCACAATCTTCCACCTACGTGGGGCCTGATATTGCATTTATTTTGATTAGTGTAGCAATGTACGGAGTACTATACCAAGACTTCAACTCCAATCCTATTACTCCGTACTATGAATAAATTTCATCGTCAGGGCCACCTTGGAATGTTACCCCTATCCTTTTACGGTTCCTCATCCCGCCTATTCCCGGCAATGAGTTCCAACCACCTAGAATGACGTCTATAGCCCAAACTCAACCTTGAGGCTTTGATAGTTAGATTAATCTAACTAGTATACAACAACTGACCATATGAGAAAGATACTAAAGAGGCTTTGCGGTTGACCGGGCGATCGGAGCTAAGTGTGGCTACCGGGCGGCTTCCGCATTGGCCGCGAAAAGTTTTCGGGTTCGGCCCCATCCCTTTCAAATCCTTTCTTCTTCTTTTCCACTCCTAAAGGCTTCAATTGCATCCCCATCTCCCATCCTCTCCTCTCAATAACGTTTCTCTTTACGTTATTTCACATCCATCAAAATGGCCGCCCCTACCGCCCCCAAGGAGGAGATGAGCGCTCTCAACCTCGTATGTTTTGAGCCCTCAAACTGCAATGCTTTAATAACTGACTCTAGATTCTTGCTTCCAGTACTCTCGTTTCGCTTTCGCCGGTGCCATGTGCTGCGCCATCACCCACGGTGCTGCCACTCCTCTCGATGTGTAAGTTTCTGAAACTTTTTGCCAGCCCGTGGGGTAGAATTTCCGCTCATATCCGGTCCTATACAGCGTCAAGACCCGTATCCAGCTTGACCCCGTCACCTACAACCGCGGAATGCTCGGTGGTTTCCGCCAGGTCATCCAGAACGAGGGTGCTGGCGCTCTTCTGACCGGTTTCGGTCCTACCGCCGCCGGTTACTTCCTCCAGGGTGCCTTCAAGTTTGGTGGATACGAGTTCTTCAAGCAGCAGTCCATCAACGCCCTTGGCTACGAGACTGCCAAGAACAACCGCACCGCCGTCTACCTCGCCTCCGCCGGTGCCGCTGAATTCATTGCTGATATCGCCCTGTGCCCCCTCGAGGCCACCCGTATTCGTCTTGTCTCCCAGCCCACCTTCGCCAGCGGTCTCCTCCCTGCCATGACCCGCATCCTGAAGGAGGAGGGCATTGGGGCCTTCTACTCTGGATTCGGACCTATCCTGTTCAAGCAGTAAGTTTTTTTTCACTTCTCCGGAAAAATCCTCGCGAATTCCCCCTGACTCGATTTCCCACAGGGTCCCCTACACCATGGCCAAGTTCGTCGTCTTCGAGAAGGTCTCCGAGGCCATCCTCTCCAACGTCAACAAGGAGACTCTCTCCGACGGTGGCAAGACCGGTATCAACCTCGGCTCCGGTCTCATCGCCGGTCTCGCCGCCGCCATCATCTCTCAGCCCGCTGACACCATGCTCTCCAAGATCAACAAGACCCCCGGTGCCCCTGGTGAGGGTACCATCACCCGTCTGGTCAAGATCTCCAAGGAGCTCGGTATCCGTGGCTCTTTCGGCGGTGTCGGTGCCCGTCTCTTCATGGTCGGCTCCATCACTGCCGGTCAGTTCGCCATCTACGGTGACATCAAGCGCATGCTCGGTGCCACTGGCGGTGTTGAGATCGGTAAATAGACGACTCGGGTCTAAATGCTCGGGAGGATTATAGAGACTACCCTTAGAATTCCTTTTGTTTTACGCCTTGTCCATCCCCCACACACGATGTACAATATTTTGTCTCAACTTCCTTTCAAGAACAAGCTGGCCATTTTGTCAAATTTCTTTCCATTTCTTTCGTAAAGTGCCAATAATCGATGTGACATTGATTAGGTATACGTGCCTTGGTTACAACTTGAATTGATTTCAAAGATGCAGTTAAAGATGATGGCGGGAATACTTGCAGCGAGACTGTCAATGAGACTGGGCTGATACCGGTCATGTCGGCGCTTGAGAGAGATTTCATGTTGGCCTGGTGAGTGTGAATATACAAGGAGAGTGGAACATCTATCCCTACATCTCAACTATAACGTCTTCTAGGGCAAACAGGGGTGGAGAGAGAAGGGGAGAGCACAAAAAAAAACAAAGACATCGCTTTCAAACGAACGGCGATCTTGCGGCGAAAAGAACAGCAAAAAGGATGAAGTATATATATGGGAGGTCCATTGGTAAGCGGCGCCGTGTCGCTCATGACAGCGCCATGTCGCCAGCTTGACCATAGGCCCAATCCCTAAACCTAAGCACGCACGCTTCAACTTAAGTTTCAATGGGACACCTTAAGATACAGGTATTACACTGCACTACTTCAAACGGCATCTACAAAGCAATGTCCTTCACAGAGAATCCATCCACTCCAAGACTATCCTCCTTCTCTACCACGAAGGAATGATATCCGGTGTAATACGCATATCCCTCCACGCAGACTCGAACGGTCCGCTGGTCTCCTCCATTTGTATAAGCAACATCAAGGACAGACCCAACAAATCCAGAAAGACCTCTCCATTCACGAGTCACCAAGGAGTTGTAGATCCTTCTCTCACCCGCGGGCAAAGTTCCTTTGGTATGTGCGAGAGCCACCCTCGCAGCGACACAGCCTCCAGTGGGAGACCGGTCAATCTGCTGATTTGCAAAGAAATAGAGCTATGTCTCCTCGCTACTAGCATCCAGCTGCGCACGAGCAGCCGCCGTTCCCTCCGGGGCACTAACATGTCCCAGCCGTGTATCTGTGATCATAATCCCGTACAGAGCTCCTTCCTCGGCAGTTCGAATATCCCGAGTAAGATATCGCAAATCCGGATTGGTAACCAACGCCTCCTTGAGCAACTTCGTCGCATTATCCATATTCGGTAACTTGACTTCGCCCAGACCACTAGGGAAGCCCAACTCCTCAGCACTAACCATACAATAATACGCACCGCCATAAGCAAAGTCTGCTGTAACCGAAGTCTTTCCACGAAGCTCGGCCCAGCGATACTTCTCTGGGACAGGAACCTGTACATGCAGACTAAGAGTCGTTGTGCGGGACTCGGGATCAGATCTCAATTCCTTCCGACGAGGAAATACCTCCTCGTCAACATCGACAAGGAACCGGCCCAGCGCGATCGTCGCATGTCCACACATAAGCGAGAACAATTCGTTGTGCATAAACAGAACGCCCATATGGGCTTTCCCGGAGTTGACGAGCTCGGTATCCGGGCGTAAAATTGCGCCATACATGTCATAGTGCCCGCGCGGTTCAAGCATGAGAACGCGGCGGAATTTGTCGAATTAAGCTTTTGCTTGCGCTCGTTGTTCCAGGAGTGTACCTGTCAGGTGTGGGATACCGTTCCAGATGATTCGTGTTAGCTCGCCTGCTGCGTGCATTTCTACGCAGGTGATCGGCTTGATGGGGCCTGGAGCTTCGAGTGGTTGTGGGACTTCCATGTTGTGCGGTGGGGCTGTTGGAATATGGGAGGTATTTTGAGGCTTAAATTGTAGTTTATGTTGTATATTAAAGGAAAGACTTTGCTCTAGTCGATGCGGGCTGATAATGGTTTTTTTATACAAACGGTTCCCCGAGGTCGGAATGTGTTCCCGAAAATTCTAGATCGCCTTTATTCTTCCCCCGAACAGGCAGGTGGGTGCTGGTCAAGTTAAGGGCGTGGGCACCAATAGTCGCTCGAGACATGGGCTTCTCATTTCGTTTCCCTTTCTTGCTAGACACGTAGACTTTTTTGGTCTTGACAATTGTATACATTATCTTTTGTTTGTTTATTGGGGAGTGGGATGGTGGAGCGGGAGGGGTTCTGTCCAGATCCACTTTTACGTTGACATTTCAATCACTAGTCAGCCAGAGCATGGATAAATAGTATCTATTCTGGCATGGTAGTGAATAGAATGATATTTCAAGGAGGATGAAAGTAGGAGTTAATCTAGGAGTGAGTAAGCTGTTGAAGACTGCCATTTTCCGATTGTTATGCTGAATGGCCTTGTGAATTCCAGTACAGTCCGAATATCCTTGTAGCACCGATGGCCAGTGATGATAGCGAGAAAATGAGATAAACTTAACTCTTATGTCTGAACGACCTATACACCAAACAAAAAACCTATATGTTCTTCCATTGTAGGTGCCGACAGGGGGGATTGGTAACATCGAAAAAAGGTATCCCAACACAGTCCCATCTCACGTATTTCTTTGATGAGTCTGACATGTTTGGATGGCCCTTTACGGGGGGTATGCCACTTTACCTCATGGCTATTTAAAAGCATTGACTTTCATTAGATGTGGGGAAGGACTTATATGGGGGCCTCTCTCTTTCGAGAATAAACCGCACCTGGCGACATTTGCGTGTGGAATGCCAATAGGTGGTGAGTGGCACAATCAACACACACCAAAGAGGTTCAATTGCGACAATGGTCAGCTCGCGATATTTTTTCTGGCAGTTCTACTTTGGCGGAATATACATATTATCAACCCTAATGTCACCCACACATATTCACTTGGCAGTTTACCAATCAATCAATGTCAAACGTATGTTGGGTTTATGTGGATCCTACATATCTGAACAAAATCGAACATCTCACATCCTATGATCCAATCTTGGTCTCTCTCTTGGTAACCAGGTAATCACCCCCAAAAACCAAGAGTCACTCAACCAAATAAACCCACAATAGGTTCGGCCGCCATTATAACCACACATCTTCTCGGGCAATACTGGAGCAAAAAGAAATCCAGAAAGCCACCAAAAAATTGACCAACGCAGGGATCGAACCTGCAATCTCTTGATTCGTAGTCAAGCGCCTTGCCATTGGGCCAGCCGGCCATGAAGAACGTTGTCATAAATTTGAAATATAAGACACGGCCCTTAGCCCCACTTGAAAAGTCCGCTTCCAAATTTATGCGCCGTTTTCAATAGCTATTTAGGTATACTAGATCAATTCAATTTTAGATGGTATAACGTTAAAACAAAATGGTGCCGATCGAAATCTTTATTGTGCATCGTCAAATTTGTACTTTTGAGTAACACACAACGACGTTTTCGCATCTGATTCTGAGAAGCGCGGTCTGTGATCTAGGACAAACAGTAAAGACACATTGTCATAATATCAACCCTATGTTGAAGATATTCCGGCACGATGAAACCTCGATTGTACCTTTCGTGCATACCGAATGACCCAACGGAGCATCGCTTATACCAGACTAAGTCACCGGTATACCTCCCATTAAGATGCACCCGAGAGAGTGCGAGAAATTACGATTGAAATCTATTGATGACCGCTTGGAGCTTGCACACTGCGAATAGGACTGTATTCGGTGCAGTTCTCAGTACAAGCTTCCATGCCAGCCACTGGTTCCCTACTCTTGCCTCTAATTTCCTGACACAGTGGCAACGCGCTTCCAACAACATAGCTCCGACTCCTGGCATGCATTGCTGGTTTACAAACCGTGGTCTGGGTTAAAAGTGTTAATGGTCTGTGTTGACACTTTTTTGTGGTCTTGCGGGCAGGAGTGAAAAGAAAAGGCCTTGTTACTAATTGGTTCATGGAGAGAAATTGCGAAAAAGTGGCAAAAAGATATGCTCACATGCCGATTTGAACGACAGACCTCGTGATGGACCAGAGAGTACTAGTCACGCGCTCTACCAACTGAGCTATGCGAGCTTGGTATAAGTGGCTGACGTCAGAGCTTTATAGCCCAGGACTTGAAGTTTTGCGGAGTCACTGTAAATTTATTTTACTTTGTATGTCTGAAACTGTTTGCATGGATCAGCTCCACTTGATTTTAGATTGCGAATGAAGATACCTTGAATGAGTATTATTTTTTAGATGAACGCACTCCTTTCAAATGCGTTCAATTTTGCATTTCTTTGGTTGTGATCCAGTACTTTTTGAGCGATCTGGCGCCCATTTGGACTTAAAGTTAAATGAGCACATAAAGTCAACAATTGCTCGCATAGCTCAGTTGGTAGAGCGCGTGACTAGTACTCTCTGGTCCATCACGAGGTCTGTCGTTCAAATCGGCATGTGAGCATATCTTTTTGCCCAACTGTCATAGTTGTTGGACATAGAAATTACATCTCTTGTTGGACATACATATACTGAAAAGTACGCTAGGCAGCATGTAGAATTTGATTTTATGAAATCTTTTAAATGTCTCCCAAGGTGTAAACCCGAATTGGTACAACTATCTAATCTCTTCATACCTAAAAATGAAGCCACATAAATGGCCTCATTTTCACCTCTGTAGATTCATCTACCTCTCACTAGCTGACATGCATATGTTATGATTACATCAGGAACAAGACATTAAAAAGAGCGATGACAGCGTCAAACGCTGGATTCTTCTTGGTTCCCTGGGTTGTACATTGGTTGGAAGACGACCATGCATTAGTATCAGCAATGGAAGTAGTTTGAATTGACACACCATCCTTCGATATAGGATACTCGAGGGCATCACCGAGGATTTTGGTTCATGCCGTTTAATAATCAAACCGTATTTTTAGCAAATCACTTCTTGGGCTACAACAAACAACGAGGTGAGAAGGATGAAATATAGCCCAAAGAAATATGACTGGGATGCGATCAACATAGCGAAAGACAACTTGTGGATTATGTGTAACCCACATAATGTGGGACACGTCCTTGCATTCGACTATCTGAACTATCTTCAGGGCGACGAATAAATACGCCCACCTGGGCAAAGGGAAGCCACCTGTTCCACCGACAACGAAATACTACACCGACCAAATAGATGAGATAGTGAATAAATCCGGCCCATAAACATGTGCGCCGGGAGAAATATGCCGAGTAAGAGGTAAAGTGCCAAAGAGCGGGGGAAAATAGAGGTGTCTAGTCTAGCTGCTGGGCAAGCAACGCAAAAGACAAAAGACGAAGAGAAGAACGAACCAACCTTGTGCTTCGAGAGCATGGGACGTTCACTGTAGAGAAGGGTAACACTCAAAGATGGCGAGGATTTACATGTTCGGTGGATGGAGGTAGAACTGCAAACAGCAATATTAGGTCAGAGACCACAAGCATTTTGAGGTTCTGGTATCAACTTGATGTTGGGGACCAGCCCCGGCAGGATGAAGGGAGCGAAGGAATGAGAGAGAGGAACTCTCGTTCAGGCGGGAGTTGCGGAGGTAACTTGGCGTTTCGCGGCTCCTTCGGTTGAACCCTGGGAATCGAAGTTGGTATTAGTTATTCTTAGTTGTCGAAATCCTGGGGGTTTGTTTCGCACGGCGTTGGATCACGAATTCCAAGGTTGATGTTTGCCAGGTTAGGCCGATCTCACACGCTTCGGGACACTTACGTCCAACTCGCCAATGCTGCGTTTCTGACCGGCTGCCTCTGACCGTTTGGTAACTTTTTTCTTTGGTCGAGAGGCCCGGGTCTCACCGGGTTGGAAGACATCGTCGGGCAAATCAAAACTAGACAGGTTTAGATGAAATCCAAACAAACCGCAGACAGAAGCGGATATTACCTGCGAACATGGGTGACGGCCAGCTCCATGACTTCTTCCTGATATCCTGGCCATGAGGTGCAAGTTGACTTGAAGATCTGTGAGTCTGTAGAGATATCCAGAGATCTCGATTGGCCTTGAGAGAAACTGTTAGAAGTGTCATGTAGGGAGAGCGATGCAATTACCTGGCTCCAAAGGTTTCAGCTCCAGGCCGATGTAATAAGTCGTCGTGTAGACAGTCTGGCCATCGTTATCGACCGTGCCCTCGACCTTGCCCTCGGCTGGCGCTGGGACTTCTGCATTTTCCAATGTGTTCTGGATTGCGGCCTGGTGAGCATGATCTTTAGTCTCATCGGTCATCGCGGTCTTTGTGCCTTTAGCCTGATGTTGTGTAGACCCATTCTTGACTGCTTCCATTTCTTGCTCGTTCTTGATGATATGGATTCTTTCAAACCCTTTGGGGAATGGGTGGGCCACTGCAACAATTGGCTTTCGATCTAAAGCGCCAACGAGGTGACGCAGCTTGGACTCCACGAGACCTGACCACACGGACTCGGCCTCCTTGGTCTTGCTAGAGGCGGTGATGCTGAGATAGTACTTGTAATCGTGAGTGAAGAATGTGTGGCGCGCAAATAGATCCTGCCACGAGAGCTGTTTCATAAAGATCTTGTCTACTATGTCGCCACCTCGCTGCAGCTCCCTGAGAATTACGGCCTTGGTGGACATACTGATGTTGTGGGTTGCGCACATGGATGGATATGCGGGAGTGATGATGGGCATAAGGTGGAATCGATCACCATGGTAAATCTGCAAGTTCTTAGCCCAAATCGTCAGCGAAAGCAGTGCTTTGTGCTTACCTTTGGGTTCCAGACTTTGATCTGAAGGGGTCCATCCTCGATCTGTTTCAATAAGACAGGCTGAGGCCAGTTCCACTTGTTCATGATTCTAAAAAACTTCCCCACAATAACAGAGCCAGTTGCTTGCGGGTATAGTTGGCAAACCCGAGCCACTAGCATCGCCCATGCAACACCACCAGGGAATCCGACAATGTTCGAGTAAATCGCTCTTCCTAAACAGATAATCAGACAATTTTGGATATTGAAAAACAAAGATTTAGCAACACTTACGCTGGGCCCAGAGTTTTATCGCACGCAATGCAAGGCGAAATGTCTTTTGTTGGGGGACGAGCTCCAGTATTTCATCTGTGACACGAGTCCCATTTAGCGATCGCACCTCTCGTTCATCCAGTCCTCTAAGATAATCATTATTCTTTAAATCCAGGTTCATCGGGATAGCCGGAATGACGAGGCGGGCAAAAATCAGATCGATACTGATTCCACATAGCTCGAGCTTGATAATAGGGACGAACGCATCGGGCACGGGTGTCATCTTTTCAATGGCCCCTTCGGAGGCCATTCTTTGAAGGATAGGGGGGAATTCAGCAAAAAAGTCATCGATCAGGACATGCTTAGGTCCAACGACTAGGGTATCAATATCGGAGCCTGCAAGCAATCATCGTCAATACATGCAAGAAAGCTTGAATCCATACATAGCTCAACACTCACCTGGTCCGTATACACCCAGTCTATAACTTCCATATGTGAAAATTTTACCACCGGAAGCCTCAACAGCAGCAGGAGAAAGACCCTTCTTGCGACTGACAACTTGAACAAATTCTACTGTGACGCGCTGAAGTAACTGGAGTACTTGTTTTCTATTCCGTGATAATCAGTTTCGGGGCTCTGGCGCTTTCTTTGTTGAAATGCGAACACACCTCCGTTCCGTTTCAGTCGGTAGCTCGAAGTTGTTCTGGGCCTTGAGCTCAGCAATGAGATCGTCGTTCGCCGAAAGCTCATCCTTGGTCGGCAGGACGGTCGATATTGGGGGTGTGACACCCCATTGTCGGACAGATGGCGTAGCCATTGCGAGGAGGAGTCCGAGAAGGTAAAAATTCGAGATATAGTCTCACAAGCCGTGTGAAGATAGGGATTAGACAACGAGAGCAGAGTTGTCGACGAGCTTCCGAGGCAAGCAGCCCAGGAAGAGAATTGGGTGCTGCTGGGACAGTGAGAACAATCAATGGAAAACAAATGCAATTCTTGAGCGAAACGGGAAGTAAAAACAGAAACCGAAAGAGAAATGGAATTGGAGAGGGAAGTTGGTCGCCGCGCAAGGTTCATCGGCGCTTCCAGGGCCCGGGCAGGTGCTTACTCAGCATCACCTGATCAGCATCTATCTACTTTTTTTTGGCAACCGGGAGCTAAAATTACGGTTTTCAATAGTTAAGAGATCTCAGTCATGGTTGATCTCCCATTAGAATGTTACATTGTCGTATTTTGCGACTTTTCAAGTCAACTGAGCGTGCTTTGGAGCTTCTCGGCCCGAGAATTGGCACCATCACCATCGTTGTCTGCAAAAAATTGAGTGATCTTGTTGTCAAGCCATTTAACATCCTCCGCACTATCACCTGGACCTCCTGCCCAATCTATTCGCTGGGTTAGCTTTGTGCTTAATTAGTATTTGAATTGCATACTCACGACCCCAGATAGAAGGGAATACATCTAGTGTTCCAATGCCTGGCTTCATGCAAGCAACCTCGTACTCCGAATCTTCAGGCCTAAAATGACAATTTTCAGGTTAGTCTCACTATGTGCTAAAGAAAATAAACCATTCCAACTTACGGGAAATAAAGATCGGTTTTTGACGGCAAAACCAGCACTTTTGCTTTGATGGCTGCCATTGCCATCTCAAAGTCCCCGTTGTATGGATCTTGCTGCGAGACATCACCAATTTGCCAAGTCTGTAGCAAGACTAGCAGATTTTCGGGTTCTTTAGAGCATTTATCAGTTCTTTGATACGACTGATTCATTGGGATCAACAGTACCTTTCGAACAAGCCCAGGTCTCCCAGAAGTTGACCATGAAATCTTCAAGTCCCTTGAAACCCAGCACAGTTTCATACAATCTGTGTCGATAAAAGGCCTGACTGAAGCCCCTGTTTCTAATAAGTCAAGTAGGGGACAAAATTTGAAGGTCAACACAGAGTTTCTTACCATCCAGCATACACACGGCCCAGTGCCTTTAGGCCAACATCCTTCTCTTCGGCCGTCCAAGCATACGCCTCAGCCGTCCTTCTATTGAGTACTCCCTCTCCCGATCCCGCAGAACGGCTTTTCTTCACCGCAATCAAGGAGCTTTTGACGCCCTCAAGGAAGACCTGGTTGTGCAGCGAAGTTTTTGCAGCCGAACAAAAGGGGACCACAATATCCATGAAGTCAGGATACTGTGTTGCCCACTGAAAAGCCTGGGCTCCTCCCATAGACCAACCGATAACGGCACGCAGATGCGTGATGCCCATGTGTTTGGTAACGAGCTCATGCTGCGCCCGCACATTGTCGTAAAATGACACTTTTGGGAATGGTTCGGGGCTCAGCTGGTTGGACGGAGAGGAGGACTGGCCATTTCCGAACAGAGCTGGAACTACTATGAAGAAATTGTTCGGGTTCAGGAGCTTGTCGTCTCCGATTAACCAGAAGTTGTCAGAGAGAGCTAGAGGTAGCATTAGAGCATCGTTGGAGGCATTGTGGAATCGAAACTAGACACACCTCCTGAAAACCAAGTTGGATAGATGATTGCTGGAGTCTTGGGATCGCCAAATGTCTTGTATGCGATATGAGCATCCTCGATTTTCTCTCCGCTCTGGAGCCCCCAGTCCCCAAGCTTGAAAGTTTCGTATTGCTCCTTTGACATTATTGTGCTTTCTCTTATTTATTTCAGATAACCAAAATAAAACGGTCTGTGCTTTTGATAAGTGGGCGTCTTCCGATTTATGAGTTGTAGTACTTGTCAACCCCGCTCTGTCCTCCGCACGAGACACGGCTTGAGTCGGAGCTGCTTATCCTCCATCAATTTGATATCTGTAGTGTGAAACATCTTACCGCGAGGCGTTTTGAATCAATGTTAGAAGCTTCAGCAAGATATCTAGTAAGAATCTAAGATATCGTGGATAGACCTGTGGATTCAATCCCTCCCTCAGGGTCACACCGGGCCCCGGGCAATACGGCAGCCCGGGAGCGCAGGGACATGGAAATTCACACACACATTTTTTAGATAATTAGACACCTACGTAGCTAAGTGTCGGAGCATATGTAACTTCTGACAGCAATCTATTCTCGCTAGTGCGCCACTTTAGATTCTCACAAAGTTAGAGTTTAGTAACTCAAAGCATTGAGAATTCAAAGCATAGAGAAAAAGACTAGTTAGATGCTTTAACAGCCTTAACACTTCTATTTTTTGGTAGGCTCCTCGGTATATAGTCTTTAAATACCTCATTTTCAATCTCTTTCTATTCGACATTTCCACCCGTAATTAGTGTTAGCGGCAAAATGCAGAATCCAGGCTGTTAAAAAGGTGCAAAGTGTTCAACTCCACTTTTCTATTATAACAGATGAAACTACGCGGTTAAGAATTCATCAGTTCAGAATTGGAAGTGTGGAGAACTAGTTCTAATTTAGACCATACTGTTGATAGAGTCTGAACGGGGGGCACTGGCCGTAATAGACTGCCGTAGTACATTGACTTAATATTGGTTCTTAGATTGGGCATCAATCAAAGTCATGCAAGCTGATCTGCTTCCGACTGTATGAGTTCAGAATCTATATATACCCCTCTTCATCCCCAACCCTCTAGATGACATAGCTCCTTGAATTGAAAACCGTGGACTAGAGCCTTAAAATTGCGGTCTAGGGATCTCCATGGCCTCCGTGGTTCGGCCATACGAAATACCCCCTAGGCGACTGATAGGCTTAAGAACCTTCAAATCGACAATACTTCTCTCCTCGTTGATGGCATCATCTCTAACCCAGAAACGAACGCCCTCAATGATAGCAAGCACACCCGACTTTTTACCAGGGGTAACCCGACTCTCAAACTCCTTCAACTCCACGAGCTTGCCCTCGATAGAAAGAATAGACTCCTTGACACGTGCAGGCTTCACAACAGAGGTAGGCGCCTGGTGCAGCCCCGACGTCTCCCATTCAGAGACACCGTAAGGGGCATTGATAGCAGTAGAGTTGGCCGCTTCGATAAAATGTTCCGAGATGATGTTGATGACACACTCCCCAGTCTCGTTGAGGTTCCTCAATGAATCCTTGGCTCTTTCCATCGACCCAGAAAATCCAACCGTGAACAGCGGTGGGTCGTGATTGATGACCTGTGCGTAGCTGAACGGAGCGAGGTTTGTAGATTTGCCGTCTGCAGACTGGGTACTGACGAGTGCGATCGGTCGTGGGACCATTCCTGAAATCAGGAACTTATAGTTCGAGGTCACGGGGCGACCCTCCTCGTTAGGGTCGATCTCGACATGGTCTTTCTCCAGGCTCTCGCCGTTGTCATTCGCGCCATCGCCTTCTTTCCACGTGGGGTTTGGGGACTTGGTGTATGTGATCTCGGTGTCGCGGCGAAAATCTGGCCGCGAGGCCTGGGTTTTCTCGAACTCCGGGCCGACTTTGAACATTTTGCAGGTGTGGCTGAATAGTCGAGTGGGTTGATTGGGTTGAAATGATGCGCGGGTTGTTGGAAAACGATTAGCACTTGAGATTATAAATCAGCTGTGGTGCTCCATGTGGGCTGCCCCGCGTAGGAGGTGTGGTGACGAGAGGGTAACCTCCGTCATGCTGGCTAGAAAGTGAGGGCAGTGAATTACTTACTAAGATTGCAAGAATGAGAGCCGACGAGGATTTCGGTAGGCAAATTCAAGCAGACACATGGAGATAAACGAGGCAGTTCTTTGATTTCATGAAATCCTTATCGCCATGCTATCGCCATGCTATCGCCAATTCAAGCTTCGATTTTAACCTAGTGCCACGCCTGGATCTGTTGAAAATCTATATTACCACGCACGACATGCCGCCTTGTGTCCTGGAAAAATGCGTGGATATATTTCCTCTACCAACTATCGGGCCGACTCCGGGGATCTCCCCGAGGAACTGGAGAGATCACACCGAGCCAAGTCATCTATGGATAGCTTCCTTGCTCAACAGTACATACGTCAACTTGGTGCTTTTAGTGTGTCTACGAGAATGATGAAATGTGCTTCCTGAATTGATACACTACCGTGAAAACGTGGGGAGTGAAATACGGGGGCTCAAATCCACTCTCCCCATGATCGCTCCAGATGCCCCGAAGTCTCGACGCCAGATACTCGGACTTGATGCGACAAATTTCAATGATTTGATCCTGTGCTAGATTACCTTACCCTTACACAAAGACATCGTGAGAGTTCCAAAAGGGGTAAGGAAATGTAAAATGTGCCCTTAGAGTGGCGTAGTACAAGGACAA